ATTTTTTTATTGGTTGAAATGTGGTTAGGTGTATAAGTAATTGTGTTTTTATTTTGAAATGTGTAATATTAAATGTTTTCTTAATCTGTGTGCAAAAACCTAAAACAATAACTAAAACGAAACGAAAGGAGTATAATTCTTTCAAACTAAATTTATTTAGTAAAAATTATATTTATAAAAATAATTTGTATTTATTACTTTAAATATGTCTCTTATTTCATAGTTTTAAATGTCTTCATTTAAATATACAAATTCTAATATATACACTTACAATGAACTGATGTACAAAATATTTATAATTATATTTATTTTATTTTTTTATTAATGTGATATATATATATATATATATATATATATCTAATGGTGATATATGAGTAACTAGTTATTAATGTATTTCAAAAATCTTACCAAAAAAGTATTTATATAGAAATTTTATTTTAATAATGATATAATTTTTTTTTGTCTAATCTGCTAAAATAATAAATTTATAAAAAAAAATGTACATGTCATAATTAGATTGTTGCCATATCATACTTTTTAAAAGACTTGTCATTTTTTTTTGAGAATGAATGTGACAAGGCACGTGTACAAATTATTCCACAAATAATGTTTAGGGAAATAATGTTTAGGGGATTATACTCAAGTTGCCCCAGACATAACTAGATACAAGTTGCTGATTTCTCTAGTGTCTTTCAAACACTATCAAGGTAATGGTTTAGTGTAGTTTCATGTATTGTCGGTTATTTTGTTCTGATAAACTCAAGCTCATATAAAAACTTTTACATTGTAACTGAAAACTTAAAAGAAATAACATTATCTCATTTAGATCATGTAACAAACTTTCTTCATCTCTCTCTCATTACTTAGCTAACATGGTATCAGAGCATTAAAGCAAAGTTCAACAATCACAATCTCAAACATTCGTTGCATAAATTCTTCATTATCAAGCTCATCGGATCTCTTCTTCGTCACAATTTCATATCAAAATGGTTGTTCTTCGTAAATAAACAAGACTATCAGCACGCACCAGTGGATCAGCTGCATAATCAGCCAATCCAACTAGAGCCTCTTTGTAGAATCCTATTCCAGTGAATTCACTTTCCGACTTACCTATTCCGGTGAAATATCGGTGAATCCACCACGGTCACGAGTTCCGCTTCCTTCTTTTCCACTTCTTAATGTGATATCATCTTCATATTCAATTGATTTGGAGGGATTCAATACTCAATATACATTCTCACACCCAGTGGCAATCTGGGAACATCTCTCATATCTGAGGTACTCGACGGAACTAACTGTAATACTTGAATATTGCGATGACTATTGTCTTAGATGCGAAGAACGAGATTGCATCTGTATATGGTTCTTTACCTAGATTTGCTGAATTGTTATAGAATCTAGTCGACAAAGCCGATTTATGGTATCATCTTTAAGGTTCAGTAATGCATTAGAGATATAGAAGGATATGATGGCTCGGTTTCATATAACAAACTTTCTAAGTTCTTATCCTTTGACACAGCAAATTTGGTCTCTCCAACAAGGTTCATCAGATTTTTCATCATATTATACAAGACTTAAAACTCTTTGAGATGATTTTGACGGAGCAGATTGTGTGAAGATTTGTTAGACTTGTGTTTGTTGTAAAGCTACTGCTACAAAGAGAGAACATATAAAAGTATTAAATCTTTGGCTGGTCTCAATGATTGGTTCTTGAATGCTAGGAGAAAAATATAATGAAGAAGCATATTCCAAATTTTATTTGATGTCTATAATATCTGGGATCAGGACTTCAGTCAACAGAACATTTTTCCTACGTAGAATGCAAGTGCTTTTCAAGTTGCAAGTAATGAAAGTTTCATTGCTTCTGCAATGAAGCATATAAAATCAGTCAAGACTAATATGCTCACATTGCGGGTATAATGGACATACTGTTATACAATACACGAGTATCCACCAGGGTTTAAGCACAAGAAGAACCTTTAAGACAAGTCTTCCTTAAGTTTTCAGGCTTAAGCTTAATTATTTAATTATTTAGCATTAGTTCTCATTTCTTAAAAAATATAGAATTAGTGTTCATGTTCCAACCAAATATATAGCATCAAAGTCTAGGATTAGCATTAATGCTCAAGTATTAAACAAATTTAAAAGTCGTATCCTACCAAAATATGTTAAGCACTAATTTGTATACTTGGTTGGAATGATTTACGTTTTTCTACTTAGAAACATATTGATATTTATAAAACTATATTTTATATGTCAAAATTTAATATCTAACATTTTATATGTAAACTTTGATGATGATGAGGATGTGAAAGTTACTGATGAACATCATGATCTTGATCTTACAATTTCTATTGCTTATAATTGAAAAAATGTTTTATTTACATTCACTATTAATGTTTATTTGATTTAATAGGTAGTATATTTATTTTAGTTTTTTTATTTTATAAACATATGAATGTTTGTTTAAATTTGGTTTTAAATTTAATATATTCAATTTTAAGTTATTATTTTAAAATTTTGAAAACCCAAAAGGTCTTAGCCCATTTAAGACTGGACTTTGAAATATAGGCCCAAAAATTATGTGGGCCAGACCAATTTTGGCTTAATAATCAATGGGTTTTATGGGTTTTGGGCCGGACTAATACGATTGGTAACCCTATTTGAAACTGTGTTTTTACGGTTTTGACAGAAATACAACTTTTGGCAAGAAAGTGTAAATTTCTAGTTTTCGTGAAAAAGTCTATATGGTTTTGGCTAAAAAATGAGTTTTTCTGTTTTAGCAGAAATGTAATTTATGATTTTGATGGGAAAATGTGTTTCACATTTTTCTTGAAAAGTGTGATATACCAATTTTGACGAAAAAGTGTGTTTTGCGATTTTAACTAGAAAATGTATTTGTGATTTTGGCAGGTATATTGCGGTTGTCTGGCATAATCATTAGTTCAATAAGACCTATTAAATGACCAATTCAATTGGTGATCAATACATTCACATTCTCTAGTTTGAAGGCAAATTTTCAATATAAAAAGAAGGAGAGCGTGTAAACACCAGATACAGTTAAAACCACTTGGTGTCGCCAGAGGCATCACCTCCCTCTCCCTTTCTCATTTTTTTTTGCTCTCATTCTCCTGTTATCCCTTGGTTGATATGCTCGCGGTTCTGTTCTACCGAATACCTCTCCCAGAGCCCTCTCGCGCTCGATGGAGACGGCTCTCGTCTTTCAATGGAGTGGCGGCGAGATACAAGGTGGAACGACGTAGATGTGCGCCGGCGTTTAGGGTTGAAGATTTTACCAGATCCGGTTTTCCCTTTTCGAGATCTCCGGTGGAAGATTCACGACGTCGGCGTGTGGCGAGGTGTGGCGTCTCCACCACAGATCTACCCTCCACTGGGACGGTGAGACTGTTGGAGGAGTGCTGCGACAGGCGGTGGATATGGGCTTGCTCTTTGGTTTCCAGAGACAACGTGCGGCATTGAATTTGACGACGAACTTCTCAGCCGGAGTGGAGTCCCTGTCTTTAAGGCACGGCGGAGTAGTACTTCCCAGTGTCGGTGGGAGCTTTGGCTGTCCCAGCGGTACGAGCTCTGCACCTTTTGAAGCCGTTGTGATCCTTGCTTGTTCTCGACGCCAAATCCGCTTTTCAGTCCGGACATTCCTGTTCGGTTTTTGGCTTAGGGTCGGGGTGGTGATGGCCGGAGGGTTGGAGCTCAATTGGTTATGCACCAGTGGTGATGGTCTTGTTAGTTCCCGTGCTGAAATCTTACCAATAGAGACTGATCGACAGACAAAAATTGGGACCGGTAAGGTTTATGTTTCTCTTGTGTTAATTACCGTTCTCAACCCGCTTTTGCCAGCTATGAAACCGCTGTCTCGATGACCTCGGATTCATGGAGAGGATTATGCACTGGTGTGGCGGTGCAGTAAATAGTCGGACTAATTCTTTCGATCCCTAATCCATTTACTAAGAGCTCTAATGAAAGTCCTCTCTCAATAGTGAGAAGAAGCGCATTCATGGTGATGAAGCAATGGCTGAACTTAAAAGTCTTAATCACGAACTACATTCGCTATGTGCATGTCTTTGAGAATTTTCATTATTGGCTCTGCTTGCAAAGGATATGTTTTGTAGTCTGTTTTTTAGTGGTAGAATTTAGTGGTGTAAGAGACGGTTCATTACAGGTTTTGAGATGATCTCTTTTTTTGCAATGGGGAAAAATGCAGCATTGTGCTACAGGTTGTACTGGATCCGAATAAAAAGTCACCTAGTGAGTGTTCTCGGGTGTTACTAAGATGCATTGTTATATGTGTGGTAAAACTAGTGTGGTTAAAAATTTTGTATCAAGTTATTGGTTAATGAAATAGTTGATGATGAGACAAAAAAAAAGAAAGACTTATTTTCAATATAGGTGACCAACAAAATCTATTTCAAACGTTACTATTCACTAACTATGTCCATGTCCTACTTGTGTTAGCTATTTTGGTACATCGGTACAAATTCTTTTAGTCATGTGTTTTTATATGGGTAGATAATTTGTCTTTATATTGCCGTTTCTTTCATAGGCACCCAATGAATAAACAAATACATATGCACTACTTTCTTCTTTTTTTTGACAAACCAATTGTGTTAGATAAAAAGTGTATTAGAGTTGAAAAGTTTTGATTGTTCAACGAACTAATAACAAAATCCTAAATTGTCAAAATAATCTAAAAACACATTAAGTTGACAAACAAATTAAGATCAAGCCAATTAAAATCTCTAAATTGTATAAATAATCTAAAAAGTCATTAAGTTGAACAAACAAAATCAAGCCAACCATATGGAGACCGTAAAATACACTACCGAGAAACACATAAAAATTATATGGCACATTTTGTAATTTATGCAGTGTCTTGTCACTATATAAACTCAATAGCATATCACTGATTTTCTCATTAACACGAAGCAATTGGAGAGTGGCTTAAACCTAGTTAAAGATTCATCATCACACCTACAATGGCATCACACAAGCTCTTTCTCATTGCTTTCGTAGTGAGTTTTTCTTCCTCTATCATGATCAACACTTGCTTGGCCTCCCGCCATCTTCTACAGCAACAACCTCTACCTCAAATTCCAAATCTTCCTATCCCAACAATGGGACTACCTCCTTAGCCATCAACCTTGCCACAACCATCTATTTCCACCATTTCCACTTCTGTACCTCCATTGCCATCAACCTTGCCACAACCAACTCTTCCCAAGTTTCCCACTTCAAGTCCTCCATTGCCATCAACCTTACCACAACCAACTTTTCCCACCATTCCTACTTCAGTTCCTCCAATGCCGATGTTCCCTACATTTCCGACAACACTTCCTTCTCTTCCAACTAACTTCCCATCCATTCCATTCTTCTCTCCTCCGCCTCCCACAACTACATCTACTCCTTGAACAATGAACCACTTCATGTGTTTTGTTGTATCTCTGTATACTTGTTACATATATATATATATATATAATTGTTGTGTGTTTCGGTTTGGTTGATTACGCATATGTGTATGATTTGTACCTTTAGTTTCATTTGATTATCAATATCTTTACTCATGGTTGAAGATTTAGTTTTTATGTTTGGAGTACCTACGATAGGTTTATTAAAAATAACTGGCTGATCTATTCGTTCGTTTTGACTCATGTTCAACTTGGTGAAATCTTTTTGCGACATTATGACAGCGACTTAGGGTAAAGAACCAGATTTTTTTTATGGCGTTAGCTGATGAGTGCAAACCAGTTTGCTTCGAGAAAGCGATTGTCGTGAGAGACAATAAAGAATATCATACTACAAGATACGAACGATTATAGAAAAAAAAAAGTGTTTCATTATGCACAGACTCAACATATAGTGTCAGAAGGAACAAGAAGTTTCCTTCAAGTACAATCAAGACAGAATAACAACTTAATGAGATTGAAACCATACTCTCTAAGAAACGTGGTTGTCCATGATCATTAAGATATCTCAGTACTTCTCCTGAAATTGTAACATACATATTTCAGATGACCAACTGGGATCGAAAGTCCAAGTCTTGGGCATCTGAAACTTTGGTAAACTAAAAAATTTAATATAGAGAGATTTAGTGTAATGCCCAAAAAAGAGGCACAAATTAGAGAAGTAACCTTTGATTGACATATAGGGCCCAAGATATACCCTCACAGAGCCGAGAAGACGAAAATACCCTTCCTACCAACGATTTGATTTTCGGCGCTTGTGTCAGCCGACTGACACAAGATATCCACGCCGATTCTAATAGGGGGCTACTCTATTCTGAAACCTAGGACGACAGGTGTGCAACTTAAAAAACACACGTTTCCTCGGTTATTCGGGCTTGCAGATTAAGAGCAACACCCTAAGCTACCTCGAAAAAGATAAGTGTACGTAATACCATGCTAATTTGAAGATAAAAGAAGGTATAGTTGGGTAAAAGATTAGTTAGCAGAACAAAAAAAAAATAGTGGGAGAGAAAGAGGGAGAACGAAAGCTGTGATTTGGTGTTTGAAGAAGATAAACTCAAGAGACAGAAATCGTTTTCACTCGGAGTGTAAGTTCATAGCTACTCGTATATATCCTCTGTTGCAAAGGAAGTTCGATTTCCTGAAAAGGTTAGAGTTTCTGATATATCTATTGTTACACCGAAACAGGTTTGGAGGATGAGACACCAAGTTCGTCTCGTAGTTGGAGACTGGGAACGAGGCGCTCAAGGCGCATGGAGGTTCAACGTGGATAAAACCATGGTAAGAGGTGACGTGGAGCTGAAGGAGAACAAAAGCTTCATCTCACTTCTTGGTATGGTGAGGGAGAAGTTCAACGTAGACCCCCTGTACGGAGTCAACGCCCCTGTGCTGCTGACTTACCACTACCCAGACCTTGAAAAAGAGCCTGAGGAGTACTCAGCACCACCCATCGAAATAAACGAGGACGAAGATGTGGCTGTTTTCATGGCGGTTAGGGTTGACAATGTGTGGCAGGAGATGTATGTGACATTGGGTGGAGAGGATGTTTACAACTACCGGAGGCAGAGGGATGTTGAAGATGGAATAACAGCTGCTGAACAACCACTTCCAGCCAGCGGTTTAGTTAGTATCGAAGGTAAAATTATTTTTCCCCGGAAACAAAGTAGTTATCCGTAAATATATGGTTTACCTGAAAAGGATCTATCAGTTAAAATAATCAGTAAAGGTAAATAATAAGTTTCCAGGTAAAAGCTATAGTTATCAGATAAAATCATCGGTAACTGCTATGATTTCTGTTAACAAACTAGCGAACACAAAAATTAACTGATAACATTCATTGTTGCTAGGTAACTGATATGATTTATGTTAACAGATTTGACTGCGAGAGGGTACCTGGTTGTGTACGAGGAAATACTTAGGGGAATATGCACGCCGGATGAAATGAGCATACTGGAGCAAACGTCCCTGGGGTATGGCGCCAATGATCAACAGCTTGACCCAACAATGACCATAAACATAGACTCTTCAGAGGGCTCTTCTCACATCCCTCTTACCCAGGCGGGGGCACCAATAACAGGAGGTGATATAAGAGTATCAGAGGAAACTAACCTTGAAGTTCAAACTGAAGATTTTACCTTCGCGTTAGGTATGAGTATTTTATTAATGTATAACGATCAAATTATATGTTAAGGAGACACGTATATGTAACCGGAAGGTGTATACACTATTAACTAGGGCAACAGGAAATGAAGTGGAAGAGATAATACGGGACAAGGGGAAGGGAGTAATGCTGAGTGATGAGGAGGTAGAAAGACCATTTCAAATTGGTGCATTTGCAAATTTCCTACTTGCAGATCACCAGCTGTCTGAAGAAAATGCATCAAATATGAGTAATGATCTTAACATTTATAGAATTACGAGAAAATGAATTAGTTACCCGTAAAAAAAATATTTATGCGACAAACTATGCATTTTCAGGTACCGGTTCAGCGACACAGCTGTCACTCGCATTGGGTGTTGACGACCATGTTGCTGAGGGTGACTCTTCATTGCCCTGGATGAGAAACTTGACTCAAGAATTCACTACAAGAAAACAAAGCATTTACTAGGAAATTTTACTAGGAAAATTCTTCCTCGTAAAGTTACTAAGCATTTACTAGGATCTTACGAGGAAAGCAAATTTCCTCGTAAGCTCCTCAAAAATTTACGAGGAAATACTTTCCTCGTAAGACCTTAGTAAATTTACGAGGAAAAAGTACTTTTCCTCGTAATGCCGTAGTAAACACTTTCCTCGTAAAGACGTAGTAAAATATTACTACGAAATTAAGAGGAAATAGTTTCTTACTACGAAATTAGGAGGAAATAGATAGGAAATATCGAATTTAAATAAAACACATGTTTTGTACCTACTTTTCCTAGCAATTTCCTAGTAAATGCTCAGATTCGAAAATTTCTATAAATACCACCTTATGTGATTCATTTGAAACACACCAAAAAAAATCAGATATAAACTTGATCAAACACAA